AGGCTCGAAAGTAACTTCGAGGCTCTGTATTTCTATGGCCCATTTGATCATTCGTCCTGACGACTCCATGATGGTAAGGGGCCGCTTGATTGGTTGGTCGGTATACACAACGACTGCATGTGCCAAAAAGTAGGGCTTCAATTTTTTAACAGCCATGAAGAGTGCAAGACCAAATTTCTCCACTAGGGGATACCTCAACTCGGCATTTTTCAGTACGTGACTGACAAAGTAGACCGGGAGTTGACAGCCGTCCCTTTCAGCAAGGAGCACAGCGCTTAACGCATGATCAGAGACGGCCAGGTACATGTAGAGATTTTCTTTGGGCAAAGGACTGACCAGCCTTGGCAAGGAATGCAAGTGAACCTTTAATTTCTGGAAGGCGGCCTCAGCATCCGGCCCCCATTCAAACCTTGCCTTTTTCTTAATTGCCTGGAAAAAGTATAGGCATTTGTCGCCTGATCGGCTTAGGAATCTCCCCAAGGCCGCCAGACAACCTGTTAACTTCTGAACCTCTCGGACGGTACGAGGCGACTGCATGTTAATGACCGCCTGTACCTTCTCAGGGTTCGCCTCTATTCCTCTCTGGTTGATAAGGAATCCGAGAAATTTCCCAGACTCAACTCCAAATACACATTTCTTGGGATTGAGCATGACATGGTGCCGCCTGAGTGTGGCGAAAGTTTCTCGGAGGTCCGTCAGATGATCTTTCTGAAGTTTAGTCTTGACAATCATATCATCAATATATGCCTCGACGTTTCTCCCAATCTGATCAAAGAACACTGTATTTATCATTCGTTGGAAGGTAGCCGGGGCATTCTTAAGACCAAACGGCATGACCGTGTAACAGTATAATCCCTGATCTGTGACGAAGGCCGTCTTCTCCTGATCCTTCTTCCATAAAGGAATTTGATGAAAACCAGAATAGGCGTCCATAAAACTCATCAAGGCATGACCGGCTGTTGAGTCGACCAGGTTATCAATTTTAGGCAGAGGGTAACTGTCTTTGGGGCACGCCTTGTTCAAGTCTGTGTAGTCTACACACATTCGCCAGGTGCCATTCGGCTTTTTAACAAGCACCACATTTGCAACCCAATCTGGGAAGTAACATTGCCGAATGAACCCTGCATCAAGTAATTTTTTGACTTCGGCGGCTGCCGCCTGACTTCTTTCTTCACCATGGTTCCGCTTCTTTTGCCGTACCGGCTTCTTTTTCGGATCCACAGCGAGTTTATGTACTGCCAGATCAGGACTAATGCCTGGCATTTCATGGACTTCAAATGCAAAGATGTCCTTGTATTCTTTCAACAGGTTGTGAAAGTCATCACCAAGGTTTCTCAGAGCAGTCGTCCCAACTTTGACTGTTCGGTCAGGACGAGAGTCGTCTAATATCAGGTCCGCATGCTCACCAGCCCGCTGAGGGCGGAACTCATCCGGCCGGTCCTCTGCCAATGATTGCTATTTTCTTGTTTTTCTTGCGGACTCTGTCTGGGGCGCCTTTCTCTTTTTGTCGCCTGTTTCTTGAACAGGCGCACTCTCCTTGACGTTGTCAAGGTCTGTTTTTTCTCCACTTGACCCAGTGGCCATAACAGTGGGCTTGACATCCGAGAGATAGCACTCTCGGGCCATCCTCTGATCTCCCCTTAGGGAGCCGACTGTTCCATTATCCCTTTCAAACTTAAGCAGCATAAGTGACGGGATTATAACAGCCTTGGAATTATTCAGGGTTGGTCGACCCAGAATCATGTTGTAGGCCGAGAGTTCCTCTACTACTAGGAATCGGACTACCATGTGTCGTCCTTCCCCTTTTTCGCCCAGGCGAATGGGTAAATCTACTCGTCCCAGTGGGTGGACGACTCCTCCTCCAAAACCTTTTAAAGGGTGGGAGGCCGGATGTATGCAGTCCGTCTGATATTTCAGTTTTGACAGACATTTGCTGCTGATGAGATCTGAGGAGCTCCCGGTATCTATAAGAATTCGGCCAACTCTCTGGTTGGCCACTTTACATTCAATAACGAGAGGGTCGTCATGCGGCCCCCTTATTCCTCCTAGATCCTCTTCAGTGATGACAATCTCAGGAAATGTATATTTGGACGGTTGTTCTTGGTGAACGGAATTTACATCTAACCGCCTTATATTATCTTTGTTGCCCCTAATAGTGGGGCCGCCTCCTGAGAAGCCGCCTGCAATAGTGTAGACGACTGCATCATCTGTATCGGAACTGTCGGCCTGTTGATTCTTTTTGGCCGACTGCTTTTTTGAGGAAGTGTTCCCCGTAGATTTCTTGACATAAGTATCAAGATCACCTTGATCAGCCAAGCGGTCTAGGTACCGCATGAGACTGATGCAGTCATTGGTGTGATGCCCAACGTCATCATGATAAGCACATATTTTGTCTTGGTTCCGGTTGCTCACAGAACCCTTCATGGGGAGAGGCTTCTCAATTGAGAGCCGTCCCTTTATTTCTTTTAGGATAAACTGGTTATCCTTGTTAAACACATACTTCGGGGAGTATGGTTTGAATTCTTTTTTCTTTTTCTGAGTCGGCTGTTTAGAGGAATCAGCCGCCCAGACCTCTTTTCTTTTCTCATCTTTGTTGGACGACTGTTTCTGTCGTCCCTCTCTTTTGTCGAACCTCTTCCCATCCGACTGTTTCATCGTACACAGATCAGTTGCTTGTATATAGGCTTCTGCTTCAATCAAGGCCTCTTGAAGAGTCGCCACCCTTTTTCGAACTAAATCAAATTTGAAGGTAGACCCGTCTTTGAGACCTCTAAAAAAGTCAGTATAAGCTACCTCATCCGGTAACCCTTGAATCTGTATTCTCATCAGGTTGAACCGCCTGATGTAGGAACGAAGCCCCTCCCTTTCACCCTGCTGAATTGTTCCCAAATCAAGGGTCGTTTTCTTCGCAGGGATGTTCATAGCGAAGTTGGAGGCAAATAAGTAAGCAAGCGTCCTGAAGTTGTTTACACAACCAGTCGGCAGGTTGCCAAACCATTGCTGTGCGATTCCCTTGAGAGTCGCTGGGAAACACTTGCACCAGGTGGGATCATCCAACCCTTGAAGGTACATCAGGTTGGTGAATGCCATCAGATGGTCTTCTGGGTTAGTAGTGCCGTCATAGGCGCCTACTAGAACATTTTTTACTTTGGCCGGCTGAGCGGCTTCAGTAATTTCCTTGGAGAAGGCCGACGACTGTTTACCAAGTCTAAGCAGCCGTAGCTGCCAGTCCATAGGTTGGACGTTTTTTGCTGCAGGTCCACCAAATGGAGGTGGCTGCATAAAATACTGTTGTTGCGGCACAAATGGTAAGTTTGGTACCGCCTGGGCACTATGAAAGCCGGACTGACGGGAGGTGCCGCCTGACTGACTCTCATGGTACGACTGAGTATGCCTCATCGAGGCATTTCGCAAACTGTCCTGAAAATTTGAAGTAGAAGCCGACTCTGATAATCGGTCACTCTTCTTCTGCTCTAGCAGGTGCCGAGCATCTGTGAACGTTTGCTTTGACCCGTCCGCCTGAATATGACGAACCGGTTTCCTATTTCCCGTAGGATAACGGAGTTTTGTGAAATCAAGAGCAGATGGCTCCCGCTTCTTGGATTTAGGATGGGGAGTCGCCTCTCGCCCTTGAACTGGCTTCCTCTTCAGTGAAGTGGAAGGTTTCTTGGCCGACTGCTCTTTGACTGAAGCAGGCGGTTTTTTGTTGATCAACTCTTGGATCTCTCCCTTGAAGTCCCTCATGAAGGTCATGAGTTCGTTCCTTGTGATGGGAGCAGACCCATCAGTCGGATGTTGCCGAGCAAGCGGTGCGCCTGCTGGCTCGCTTCCTGTTTGAAGATACTCCCGTTCCCTCATTTCGGTATGACGGGTACGTCGGGCCCTTAGGGTCCCGTCTGGAGCTGTATGAGTTTCAACTTCAAATTCACTTTCGGTATCATGGTCCGACTGAACTTGAGGGTCGTCTAGGGGACGCCTCTCTTCTGGAGTCGGTACAGACTTGGATGCCATCTCTGAAGTACTCTCCCCACAAACGGCGCCAAATGTTTCGGGGTTTTCTGATGTCCTGCGGGAGAGTTACAATTCCGAGACTGGAACCGGACGCCTGTACCTGCAAAATAACGGAGACTCCTGAGAGCTCCGCCTCCAACGGTCAAGTTAGTACCTGATTAAGGAGTAATTAATACAGAAATTAAAGTAATGAGATCTCTCCAGGTGAGAGTGCTTAGTGTTGGTAATCTGCGTCGTTAGCGAGATTAGCCGGTTGTTAATAATTCTGTTCTTCTCTGCTTGATCTCTTGATTATTCGATTCCCTGATTAATGAGGATTAATCGAGTATTTATAGCCTTGAGAAGCGTGCAACTCTCTAGGTTTAAGGTAAACCTAGGGCTGACCGGGCCTCTAGACTGGACTGGGCCTTGATGGCCGGTTTTCCCATTTGGCATGGGCGGACACGTGGCGTGTCTTAAGTGGTCCGTAGAGGACGTATCTGTGACTGACACGTGGCAGGCTCCTGTTGGCCTTAGTGAAGGACACGTGGCGGAACCTGGTTGGTCCACTTGTCAGACGGTGATTGGTGGATAAAAATCCCCTAATCACCTGGTATTCAAATCAGATCCAAAAAGTTTTGGATATCGGGTATCCTATGTTCCAAATTTTTGGATATTCGATATTTGAACTTTGTAATAGTTTTAAGAAAATACAATTAGTACCCTAAATTTTGGATATTTGGATCGGGTATCCATTATTTGATATTTGGAATCTGAAATATTTCAGGTATTTTTTGGATATCGGATGTCTAAAACTTGATATCCAATTAAGTATATGATATCTAAAATTTTTGGATTAGATATTCGATTAAAAATCAGCATCTAATTGTATTCTAAATTATCGAATTAGATACAAATTAGATCTTCGGATATACAAATCTTCGAATAGTTTTGTACATTGCTACTCCATCTGTTTTTGTTTAAGTGCCCCAGTTTGACTTTAACATCATTCATATGCATTGCTTTGATTTTATTTGTGCTTTATACATAAGACAAAATATAATCAATGAATACTTGTTAAAATCGTTTTAAAGCATAGTTGTCAAATATTAATTTTTATTTCATAATTTATACTTATCGATAATTAAAAATATCATTAATCAAAATTATGTATTTACAAGTATACTGGTCAAAATGAAACACCTAAATAAAAACAAAAGAGTATTGTGCAAAAAAAAAAAAAAAAAACAAAAGAGTATTAATTTTTTTTTTTTTAAAAAAAAAAGAAAAAAAAGAGTATTATGTAAGAGTAAAACTCTCATAGGGAGTGGAAAACCCAACACACAACTGTCCTTATCTTCAATTCTTAATTTCAACTCTTTTTTTTGCCCTTTATATTTTCACTACTCCTTAATCTATTTTAACTGGTTAGCAGCAACTTTTCCACTTCCCAATTCCACCATTTCCGTCCCTTCCTCCTCTCCACTCTCAAAACAAGCAACCCCCTTACAAAATCCCAAAACAGAGTCATATCCCCTTCAAATCTTCAATACAGATTTCCAAACACAAAATGGCACAATCAATAGAATCACCTCCCTCATCATTCTCAACAATCTCTGCTTACTTCCGGGCCCTGAGTCAAACCCCGCAACGCCTCGCTCGCCGAGCCATCTCCGTCTCCACCCCTTTCGAGGAGCTCAGCCATGTCCGAGCCCGCTCCGGGACCGACATGCGACGATCCCTCCGTTGGTACGACCTCGTTGCCCTCGGCATCGGCGGTATGGTCGGCGCTGGCATCTTCGTCACCGCCGGTAAAGCCTCTCATTCTTACGCTGGCCCTGCCGTCATCCTTTCCTACGCCATTGCCGGCCTTTGCGCTCTTCTCTCCGCCTTCTGCTACACCGAGTTCGCTGTTGATATCCCCCTTGCCGGCGGCGCCTTCTCCTATCTCCGCGTCACCTTCGGTAACCTTAACCTTTCTCCTCTAAGCCTCTGCTTTTGTTCGTTTTATTGGATATAAAAAGTGATGGGATTTTAATTTATGTAATGATGAAACAGGGGAATTTGCTGCATTTTTAACTGGAGCAAATTTGGTGTTGGATTATGTACTATCCAATGCCGCCGTTGCTAGAAGTTTCACCGCCTACTTCGGCACTGCAATCGGTATCTCCACCTCTAAATGGAGGTTTACTCTCTCTCTTCTTCCCAAAGGCTTCAATGAAATTGACGTCATTGCCGTCCTCGTCGCTCTCATCATCACCATTATCATTTGTTATAGGTACATTATACTTCGACCATGCATTACTTTCACCACTAATATAAAAAAAAAAAATATAACAAATTAAAAATATTTTAAAATATCTACCGATACAAATATATTATATATATTGAGACAAATTTAAGGAATGTTTTGTTTTAACAGTACAAGGGAGAGCTCAGTAGTAAACATGCTCCTAACAGCACTACATTTGATATTCATTGGATTCATAATTGTGATGGGATACACAAAAGGAGATGTAAAGAATTTCACGAAACCGGAGAACCCGAATAACCCGGGTGGGTTTTTTCCATACGGGTTGACCGGAGTATTTAATGGAGCAGCATTGGTTTACTTGAGTTACATTGGATACGACGCCGTTTCGACAATGGCTGAGGAAGTTCATAACCCGGTTAAAGATATTCCAATTGGAGTTTCGGGTTCCGTTATTATCGTCACTGTTCTATACTGCTTGATGTCTATTTCCATGTCCATGCTTCTTCCATACGACGCCGTACGTCTCCCAATCAAAATTCAGTTTTTAAGTACTAATATTTCCACTTTTTATTTAATTATTATTTCATGGGAGTATGGTCCTATTTTGCTACTATGATTTAACTCCAACCTTAAAGTAGAATTCTTCAATTTCTTAAAAAAAAAAGGTTCATCGTTTTTTTTTTTTTCTATTTTTAAACATAATAAATAAGGTACTCAGTGTTTTTTAATCTAACATTTAAAAAAATTTAATTATAATATTTTATTTATAAGTAAAAAATTCATCTATATAGAGAATCATATATGACAATAAAAAATTCATCTATATAGAGAATCATATATGACAATAATAGTATATGCGAGATTTTGACCAAGATCATTGTTGTACCATATAATCATATCCAATTGGTTCAAAAAAAAGAAAATAATCAAGTCCAATACTTAGTTCAACTAATTTAATTGACATATCGTTAAAAATCTTGATGTTGAAGTTGAAGGTTATGGAAGCTATTGAGTAATTATAATCTTAAACTGTCATAAATATGAATTTAATATTCCGACGCATTTGAATATACTTTATAAGGTCATAGGTACCACACTAAACGAATCACTTGTATAGTAATAGTCTAATAGATGCTCCAATGAAAAATGATGCAGCATGAAAAATAAGGAGTCCAATGTCATTGGATATTGACGATTCTAGATCAGTAAAGATTTAAATAATATTTAAAAAAAATTTCGAGGAAAAAAATTTATATTATAATTAATATGCTTTTACTCTTATTTATTACAAGTATTATTTTTATTTTATTCAACTTCTTTCTCTGTCTCTTTGGTGTTTAATATATACGGAGTATTTTAAATCAAGTTAGGTTTTTATTTATTTATTTTTTTATTTTGTGTAATTTTTAAATCTTTTTGGTAGCTCAACTGTAAAAGGTTTGACATTTGCGTGTACACTATGAATTCTAAATACTGATACTCGTAGTCTGTATATAGTTTATTTAAAACCATAAAAAAAAAAAAAAGCACATTCATACAAAAAGTTTGATTGTGAGATTTTATTCAAAAAAAAAAAAAAAAAATTTGATAGTGAGATTTTATTGAAATATATTTTGACTATGTGGATTAGAAAAAACAAAGCAAAAAACCTCTTACTGAGTTGGAAAGGTCAAACCATTCTGACAAATATGCATGTGATTATGAAACTATGATTGTTGCCATTAGTTTTATTTTACTATTTTTGCAAACTTATCTAAAGTATTTCTATGAACCAAATTTACATTCAAAAAAATCATATTTCAGTTTTATAATAATAATTGACATGTAAAACCTTTTTTTTCACTATTTACCTATTCACTTTGACTTATAGTTTTTTAAATACTAAATATAAATAAAAACATAATTTGTCATGAAATATATTTTAAAATAGGTATTAACATAAAGTTTTATAGCATAATTTTTTTTGTAATTTTATTAATGTTTATTTATATATAGATAAGGTGAAACTAATGCATCATCATGTATGCTAAATTTAATTGTGTGGGACAGAGGAAATATTACTCATTCAATTCCATTAAATTAAGGTTTGTCCTACAAAAATCCATGTGTTTTAAGTTTTAACCTTTTAACTGCGGTATGTCGGTATTGGATGGTTAGGATCTCTTGCACTATCCCATCATTTTTAAGTGTTTAGCTCTCAAATGTTTAACAAAAAAAACCATGTGGATTAATGTCTAATCAGTGTATTCCAAGTATATTTGTTTGGATAATGTATTTTGATAATTATATGAAATTGGACTGATACAAAAATATTTTGGTGGTAAAAATTGGTGATGGGTGTATACAGATAGACCCAGAAGCAGCATTTACAGAGGCATTCAAGGGAGAAAAAGGATTGGAATGGGTGTCAAAAGTGATAGGAAGTGGGGTAAGTTTTGCGATATTGACATCATTAATGGTGTCGATGCTGGGACAAGCTCGTTACATGTGTGTGATCGGACGGTCTAATGTTGTTCCATCTTGGTTTGCTAGGGTCCACCCTAACACATCTACACCCGTCAACGCTTCCGCTTTTCTCGGTAACGTTGCTTTCTCCTCCTTTTCTCGCCGTACCTACTCATTTTTACTACGTATTATTATTATCTATTCCTTCTATTTATAATTAAGGGTTTTTCTAAGGGTTGTTAAATGTCGCTCCTATTTTATTAGACACCGGCCGCATTTTTTTTATATGAATTTCTGTATTTATCCCTCGTAAATAAATACTCACGATACTCATTTCTGAAATCACAACTCACTTCACTCTCATTTTACCTCTTTTAAAAAAAATAAAATCAAATTATGTAAAATAAGTGGAGTTCCGCCTGAAAATTCCGGAAGTATCAAAGAAGATCCGAAATTTTCAAGCAGATCTACCCATTCGCCTTAAATTTCCGGATGTTCGGTGGTGGATCCGCCTGAAAACTCCGGATCCTCTTTGGTACTTCCGGAATTTCAGGCGAAACTCTATTTTTTTTTTTTTTTCCAGATTTTACTTATTTTTTTAAATTTTATTTTAGAGAGATTAAATGAGCAAATAATATCAACAAATAATAACAACATAAGCAAATAATTATAACATTGATCACAACAACAATAATAATACTAATACTAATTACTCAATTTATCACAAAATTAATAATAATCACAATAAAAATTATAATAATAATACAAAGATTACATTAATAAATTTGATTAATTAATCAATTCAAAAAAAAAAAGGATCCGCCTTAAATTTCCGGATCTACCTTGGTGGATCCGGAAATTTTAAGTGGATCCACCGTAATATTTTAGGCGGATGTTTTTATTTCAAAAAAAAAAAAAAAGTATGAGGACATACAAAATACTCCGACGAAACGATCGTTGTCGTCGTCCATCGTCCTAAACTATCGCTAAAGCTTAATAAATTTTCTTAAAATAAATATTCGGATTTTTGGTGTTGGATCGAATGGGTCGGGAATTTTTTTTACCACGTGGTAGTAAGTGGAGGGGTCGAGAATGATATTATACCATTATATATTACAACTTACACAAAGGGTAATATCGTCCTTCCATGTAAAATAGGGAGCGATGTCTTGTAAAATAGGAGCGTTGTTTAGCAGTTCACTTTTTCTATATAGTAACTCTTTTAATTTCGTTTTTCTACGTTGTGCCTCAACATATATTACTTTTCATACTGTAACCTCGATATACATTTTGTTTCCATACGTTAACCCTGCCATTTTTCCGCCGTTAAAAAATTCCGTTAGTGGGGCTCACTTTTCATTTATTAATTTTTTTTAATCGATTTGTGCGCTGGAAAATATTATATTGAAGGTTTTGGGAGCTATTTTGGTCCTTAAAAGTCCAAATTGAACTCAGATTTCAAAAAAAAAAAAACGTAAATGTCTTGTTTTGTGTATTAAAATGTGAGCACGTAAATCGAGACATTTTTTAATAAGCAAAACGAGGCATTTAAGTTATTTTTTGTCAAATCTGAGCTCATTTTGGGCCTATAGCCCCCAAAACCTTTAACGGAAGGTTTTCCAACGCGCAAATAGATAAAAAATATTAATAAATGGAAAGTGGGCCCCACTAACGGAATTTTTTAATGGTGGGATAACGGCAAGGTTACCGTATGGAAACAAAATGTATATTGAGGTTACAGTTTGGAAAGTGATATATATTGGGACACAACGTAGAAAAGTGAAATTAAGGTTACTATATAAAAAAACTCTATAATTAATAATGACCGGGCTTATTCGGTTAGAGGGTTATTCAGTCCATTAAAAATTACTCACTTGATCTAAGGGTTATCTGGTAAGTGTTGAGTGTGTCTCAGCTTGCTGCTGGCAAAAAAAGCAATGAAGAAATAATAATATCAATACACTGTTTTTATCATTATTTCTTTTTTCTCTTTTTGGTTACTTTCTATATTTGATTTTTTGTTTTTTACGTGGTTTTTGTTTGTTTTTTCTCTTAAGTTAGGCCGTTGTGTTTTCGGTTATTATAGGGTTGTGTAAAGCATTTTGCTTTCTTTATGAATCGTGTAAGTTTTAGGTTTGATAAGTTATGATAAGATGAATATAACACATCTTTCTAGTGACTCTAAATGCAATTTAATTATCAATATTAACAAACTTAATTGGTCGAGATTTAATTATGGGTTTTTGTTTGTTTTTTCTCTCAACTAGATCGTTGTGTTTATGGTTATTGTAATTGGGTTGTGTAGATCAATTTGTTTTCTGTGTAAATCACTTATTATTATGGTTGTTATCTTCATCCAAAAAAAAAAAAAAAAAAAAAAAAATTAATTCAACACGTTCAGCTAAGGTAAGCAGAATGCACCACCGGTTTGAGTTTTTATAAATAAGAATCAAATTCACGTTGTTATAGTGATTTAAAATGCAATTAATTAGTTGAGTTTATAGAGTAAGAGTCTATACATTAGCTGAATGCCTCTTGTGAGAGTTGTGACTCTGTACAAGAATAAAAATATGGGATGTACTGGTTGGCCAAAACTGAAGAATAATGTGATTTTAGGATAAAAAAAAAAAGAAAAGTTTTTTAAAGAGCATGGTTGTAAGATGCTTTTTTAATAAGGACCTAGTACTAATTTAATGAGTTTACCCTACAAAATATTTTTTGAAGTAGATATTGTCGAGTAATTTGATTGGTTAATTATTGACACTACCTATAGTATATGACGCCTTTATACGTGCTTACGTAAATAATAGTAAATACGAAGTATAAATAATTGTAAATTTTTATCTTATCAAAAAAAATAAAATAAAATAATAGTAAACTTTAAAGTTGTTTTTTTTTTAAAAAAAATAAAAATGCTCTCCATATATTCTTGCCTCATTAGAAATTTTATGTAGTTTTTGTTTCAAAACGATATTTAATGTAGTTTTGAGACTATAATGACATTTTAGGACTATAATGATGTTTAAAATGACAATCAAATGGGAGTTGAATGTTAGAATTCATGGATGTGCTTATTCATGTAATAATGTACCTTCGATGGCCTGTAAATTTCGAGAAAAACACGAAGAAACTATCGTAAATAAACTCTCTTTTTAAAACTCTAAAAAACCAAATAAGCGACGTCAGCATATTCAATAGAACAAGTTGGTTCATCTAAAATTTCACAGAAGTGATCTTAAACGATTATTTAGAAGATTGCTGATGATATAGTTGTTGTCTTGTATAATATACATAGGTACAACTTCAACTTTCATGGGTAGCTGAAGTGTGTCATGTTGATGTGGGAAATGTTGTCATAACATATTTATTATTGTTTTGATAACCTGAAAATTTATATATAGACAACCTTACGTGTTGTTTTTGGACTATATGGGAAGATATGGATGAATGATCATTAGTAACGGATTACAAAAGCCGCAAATGAAACAACATGTGGGTCATAGTTTTATGATTTTTATTGTTTTAATGTAATGTAATGGTCGGCCATTTTCATTTGCAATAAAAATCCATTCATGTATAATGTGGGAATTGTAAAAGAAATCTTCTTGGATCTTTTTACTTTGGGGGGGGTGGGGTGGTGGAGGATAAGTTTGTTGTTAGGTCTTGAAGGTGTTAGTTGCCTAATACGAGTACATATTAAGTAAGATGATTTCGATATAACCACCTTATTTTTAGTATGGTATATTGTGTTTAGTGTCTGATATCTTTATTTAAATGTTGGACCAAAAGTGAGTATTTGATGTAAGATGAAGAGTACGGGGAAGATAATATCTCATGTCTTTTTTATAATTTTATTGCTTATTTTGGGGTTAGAATTTGGGTTGGTCGGTGACACATCACACATGAAGTGCTATTGGACAGAACATCTGATTTTAGAGAGGAAGTGCTCTCTTGGTGTAAAGCTTTAGGGTTCAATATCAGCAATAAAGTTGCTTTTAAATCTCTTAGGTTATCATAAGCATGGCTGTATGAGATCCCAAGGGACTTCAGGCTTTAAAGACATGGGAAAAACGTTTATGTTTTTTCTGTGGCTCAAAGAGCCATGAAAATTGATTATTTTAAACATAAAATTTTGAAGTATTGTTTATTATTTGTTACATTTGAATTCTATATATATATATTTGATGGAGAATTCTATATTCAAAGCGTCAAACCTAACAAAAAAAATTTAGTAGTGGAAAACTGATAAAATTGTAAAATGTAAGTATAATTAGTGAACTTTTAGGCTAATTTTAAGTGCTTTAAGTTTGAAATCAAGTGTTTCTCATAAATTTTCTTTTGGGCATGGATGCCTTTAGTCTTTGGCTTGTTATCTACTTTCAATCGGTAACGAATTTATTTTATAACACGTGGCACACAATCAATATTAGCAGTGCTTTTTAATACTGTAATTTTTTTTGAATTTCTGAAATTTTTTTCCTCCAAAATGCTATTTTTTTAAATGAATTTGCATAAAAAAAATTAAAACTACTTTAAAATAAAAAAATATTTATGTATCAAACAAGAAATTTAAGGCTATACATTCAATAAGTTTTTTTTTTTTTTTAAAAAGGTTACATACTAGTAAGTCAATCATACCATTTTTTTTTATGCGATCTTACCATTATGAGTCATTGCATTTACACAAGTCCTAAACTAGTGAACTATAAAGGAAAGATTAAAATCACATTAAAAGGAATTTTAAATGAAATCTAATTATGCATATATGCTTACTACGAAGTACTATACATTATTACTAGAGTATCAGTTAAGTTAGTAATTAATTTACTGTTAATTTATTTTACGCTTAAGTGATTTTAGACTAGTTCATGTATCATTACTTCATTAGAACAATTGTAGAAGAAAAGAAAGTGTTGAAAGTGTTAAAATTGATAATGTTGAAATTGAATAAGTTACTAGATCAATGAGAATCATACAAAAAGAAAGTACTGAAATTAAAACTGTCGTTTTGGAAGTAAATTTTAGGATAGTCATAAATATATATATGTATATTTTTTTGGAAAATTTAACATAAACAGACAACCCTTTGGGCGGTTCTCCCATATTAGACTAATCTTTAAATCTGCCCATATTA